ATGAATATTAAAAAAAACAAAAATCAAATCTAAAAAATAGTGTTTCTTGCAACACATTATCTAGACTGTCCATTTTTAAGATTTTCACGTGTTTATAGTTCTACTTGATTTGAACTATTTTTGGATTTACAAAATTTAAAAATTAAAAATCAAAATAAATTCTCAAGCCATCCTAAAACTTTTGGACCCGGTTTCTATGCGGCCAAGCGTGCATATATAGAAATACGGGCCTATTAATAAATCTATTTTTAAGATGATTTTTCATACTTAATTTTTAAAGACATATAATCTCTAACATAGAGATCATGACTATAAAAAAAATAAGTAAATTTTAAAAACTAAAAATAATAATTCTAGAAAGAAATGATACACCTACTTGCATCTATCTTTAAGATGGATGCCGTACATTTGGACAGCATGTATAGTCATGCGATCCAGTGCCATGAAACAATTTTCCAAATCTTTTTTAAAAAACCAATATTTCTTTTTTAAAAAACCAATATTTTTTAGAGAAAAACACGTGTCTATGTGCCATCAAAACACGCGTCGTATGTGCCTTTGCTGTGCCAACTCTCCATCAAAACTCAGAGTCGAGGGAAAAAGAAATGGATACCGGGTAGGTTCCCAAGTACGTGAAAATAAAGTTTTTAGGAGTTCGATTTCATGGGGATTGGTACCCAAAAATCCAAAATTTCCCTATAAATTATAGGTTTAAGCATTTCAGGTACTCTCTCTCTCCTAGATGGCAATCCCTAAAGTGCTACTGACCATGTTTCAGGTATTTCATTTTTATATTTTATTTTTTTGGGTAAATTAGTAGGAGATTTTTTTTTTTATTTTTTTTGCATAAATCAGTGGGAAAGAAGTCCCTACCTGATTTACATTAATAAAAGATAGAAAAAATTACATCATACTATTTTACAATCATATTTTATGTATTTTCTCTCTGTCTAACAGACAGAGAATGCTAACATTCCTTTACTATCTTGTTTGCAATTGTTTTCTTGATGGTAGAGCTCTTAACATTCTTTTATGCTTGATCTCTGAACACAAGTTCAAGTTCTCATGGTAAGTATGCTAACACTTTTAATTCTTTTGCATTCACTCTTGACAGCTGGTTATGAGAGGTTTAAGAGCCATATTCCCTACAAAAACAGGGCGGCTTCAAATTCATTGATCTCCCTTCTTCAACTTCTGCATCAAATACCAGTCTAGAACTAGTGTCATATGCGGCATTTGGCCGTCCTCATAACATCCATCAACAATATCACCACCTGTACCACACGCCTCAAAACTATCTTACAAAACACCATCATCAATCACATATTTCACTTCTCCTGCCAAAGTCAAGCTTCGGAAAACTATGGGACTCTCCCACTCTATACAAGAGAAATTAAAGAAAACGAGAAAAAGGATCCCTGGATTACGAGCAAAACAATAGCCATGGCGTTTATTATGACCGTCATAGGACTCGTGAGCATGCAGTTCGATTACACCGGATGTCGCCCGATTCCATCATCCGTTTTTTCCATTTATCTTGTTTACTTCGATGCCTTTGTAATTCTTGTAGTGCTAGCTTTTCCTTACTCTGGTACTGGCACAAGGCTTGGTGATTATTTTCCTTTACTTGAGGAATTCATGGAGGAGATGGGGGTTTTGTGTTTGAGCTTAGCGTTTGGTTTGGCTATTTGGGTCATACTTCCCTTACATTTCGGGTGGGTTTCATGGGTCTCTTTGCTTCCTGTTTTGTCAAGCTTAATGCTGCAAAATTATAGAACCTTGTTGCATTATTTCGAGAAATGGGTTTAAAAGAGCTGGTGTGGAGGAACTTTACAATGATAATAATGTAAGTATGAAGTGCCAAATTAGTGTTTCCAAGAAGCCCTTATAGAAAAATAAATTGCAGTGCACTTCATATTTGTTGTCACTACTCATAATGCTAAACCTATAGATCTACGTTTAATAGGAAAATGTGTGTAGTTTTTTGTTTTCTTTTTTGGGGGTGTTAATATGTAATTATATGCAGGCGTTTTTCGATAATAAGAAAAAAGGTGCATCGTTGTGTCCTGATGGAATTGCCTATTTCTTTCTTTTTTTTTCTTTTTTTTTTTTTGAGATAATACAGTAAGGAAAACGAACCCCTATCCATTTTTTAAATAGTTAGTAGTCTTAACTGGGCTCAAGTGGTTCTCCCCATAATTAGCATGTCGGGGACTATCAATAAATCGGTTTACCATAAAATTAGAAACAAATCGTTTTTATTTTAATAAGTTAGATGAAAAAATCGGGTAAAAAATACATATCGACAAAAATACTTCACATAAAGATATCGCTAATATATAGGATTAGGCTAAAAAAATTGGAGTAAAAAACTTGGATAAATTTATAATAATAGAAATTATATCAAAACCATCAATAGCTAATGGGAAAAGTTTATATAGAGTCGAGGCTCTAAACAATCAAATTCGAGCTTATCACAAAAATTTCACTAGAAGAGGCTGTTTGATGCCCAAATATCCTCAAATTGATCATCCCGACATCAAGATATATGGATATGAAAAAAATATATATATATAGATTTCAAGTTTTGAGAATAGTGTATTTTGTAATGCATTTTTTGACCGTTAATTTTCAAGATTTTCAAGTTTTCATAGATATATCAATCTACACTATTTTATAAGCTTTAAACTTTATAAATAAAGATGAAAATATATTTTAAGGCTATCACAAAGACTTCCACTATTAAAACCTCATTTCTCAGCAATATTTGAAGGTAGGCTCTAATTTGATTGTTTAGAGTCTAGGCTCTATGCAAACTGCACCCATAACTAATTCATCCATACAAACTTTATTAGACTAATATAATTAAGTCAATTATTTTAAATGCTTCGTGACTCTCATCCAATCATCCACTATTAAATACATAATTAATTAGTATATATCAAAAAAAAATATCATATAAATTTACCCATTAAATACTTTAAAAAACATCGTACCAACTTACTACATATAAAACAAAATAAAATATATATTTATTTATTAAAAATACTTAAACATCACAACTATTGGTATCCAAAAAAGTACACGATGTTTGTTTTCTCATTACAATCATTTGACTATAGCAGCGTTTAAAAACTCGCCGAGTTGAGCCGGACTCGCCCGGTTTGACTTGGGAATCATCTAATCCCGAGGCGATTCCACGAAAAAATCGGGAATCGCCTGTATCTAGAGAGAACTGGGCGATTCCCAGCGATTCCCAATAGTAAATCGTGAGTCTCACCGAGAGTGACACGTGAGCTCACGAGAGTGACACGTGGCACTTAAAAATCTTCCACATGTGGTAATTCACCTCACTCATATGCCCCCCTCTCTTTTCTACACGCGCAGCTGATGGACTAGTACGCAGCATTTTATAGAGAACAAAGGGTCACTCATCCTTCGATGTGGGATAATTCCCACACAAAACCATTCAAGCAAGATTGTTGAATATGTATTATATTATAGAAGCTAATGAAACACATCAAGCGATGTAGTGGTGTTGGTTGACAACTTTGATTTTCAGATGAGCATCTTGAGTTCGAACCCCCTGGTCATCGTTTATATAATACAACATTTTTTTAAGATAAAGATAAAAAATAGAGATAAAGATAAAAAATAAAAAGATTTTCAAGATAATGAATAAAAAGCTTGAAATAAAATAAAAAAAGCTTTTCTTGTTGTAAAAAAAGCTTAAAAAATAAAAAATAAAAAGCTTTTCAAGATAAAGATAAAAAATATAATACAATATTTTTTTATTTTTCTTGTAAAAAAAATACAAAGTAATATAAAAAGTATTTCTTGCAAAAAAATAAAACGAAAGGCATAAAAAAAAAATTTGACAACAAAAATAAACAAAGGCAGAAAATACTGTTGTAAAAAATTTGAAAAAATAAAAAATAAAAGGCTTTTCAAGATAAAGATAAAAAATATAATACAACATCTTTTTATTTTTCTTGTAAAAAAAATACAAGGTAATATAACAACTATTTCTTGC